TGGACGGGCCCAAGGACTGGGACAGATTCCTTGTCTGGTGCCCAACAGAGGCCCAGGAAGAGTTGGAGTTTTCTCTCTAGCGTCTCCTGGTAAAGGCTCAGCAATGAATTTTCTCTCCCTCATTTGGTTGAAAAGGAAAAAAAAAAAGTATCTCCCTGCTTAATCATGTGAGACTAAACTACCAGAAGATTACAAGAATATTGCTGAGCCATGAGCAGCAAGGAAATAAAAAGGCTCCATAATGATTTGCCTGCTTATTCTTAATAAAATCCTGCCAGGGGAGCCGAATCTTTGTCCTCTGCAGAGCTCTGCTGTGCTGCAGTGGCATTGAGAGCTGTGGTCAGGAGCGGCGCTGTGACCTTGAAAGCAGAGCTGTGTAGGGCGGACGGTGCCCTTGGCTGCTCCAGCGGCTGCAGCAGCGTGGGGGGGATGCGGGGCTGGGGGGGCTTCTGCCCCCCCACCTGCCTTCTGAGCTAGTGGGATGGCCGATGCCACCCCTTTCCCAGGCAAGTGATAATGTCCACCCAGGTGACCACCCTTGTGGTGGAGAGACCGGGAGTGGGAGGTGGGCGGGGTGCACTCCATCCCCCCGCATTGTAGCACCTGCCACCCAGGACAGCTGTTGAGGGCAGGTGTGTGGTGAGGAGGGGCTTCTGCCCTGTGGAGGGGAGAGGAGCTCAGTGCTGGGTGGCCCTTTGACCCGACCCAGGAGAGCTCCTTAATGAGCTCCGCCTCGGCCTGAGTGGGCATCCCAGAGAGAAAGCACGGAGTTCATCTTTCCCGAGCTCTTGTCACTCACCCTTTGCTCTGAGGGCTGGACAGTCCTCACAGAGGGTGACTCCAGGAGCCGTGGAGTCCAGGGTCAGAGCAGAAGCTCTGCAGTCAGAGACCTGCTCAGGGTGGGTGCTGAGATACACCGACCGGAAAGGAAGGGCGCATATGTTGCCACGGGGGCTGTGGTCGCCGTGGAAGGATGAAGAGACAGCTGAACCCACTGTGAACTGTCCCCAAGTACCGGGGCTAGGACATGTTTGGAGGAAGGGCTGGTGCATCTCTCCGGGCGACCGGGGCATATCTGCATGCCTTGGGGACTCCATTTGACTAGCAGTGCACTGTGGGAGAAGGAGGTTGGGCTGGTTTGGTGGGCGGGTGAGATGGAGTCGTGAGGAGCCTTGGATACAGTGTTACAGGGAGCCCTTGAGGGGTCTGAGCTGTGAAGCCAAGCTGACAGGTACAGCCAGGGGTCTAAGACACATTATGTTGGCAGCTTTAACAAGAATGTGGGTGGCCTTAGGGGTGAAGGTACGCTCTAAGAAACGAGGAAAGTGGGCCTGGAGGGATAGTGTAAAGTCATTCCTTCTGCAGCAAAGCAGGAATGAGTCCTTCATCCAGTGCAGGCCTCGGTTGGGGCCCTGGGCCCCAGGTGTTCAGACCACCCCACCCCCTACTTCCCGAGCCCTCCTTGTGCCCTGCAGTGTGCCTCCAGGCCCCCAGTGGCCAGTTTCTGACCTTCCAGATTGAGTCAAGCACCTCTATAGTGGGGAAAGACCTCCAGCCAGTCCCAAGATAGCTTGATGACATCTGCAGGAGTGGCAGTCATGGCCTAGCAGGATTCTAAAATCCGGTATGACCCGCAGATGCCGGAGAGGACCTGGGAAGGGAGTTGAGCTCCTGGTCAGATGGCCACATCCCAGCCCCACTCAGCTCTGACCCGGGGCTGCCAACTTCCTCCCCCTTGCATATAACGGGGAGGATGTGCTGCTCAGAGGTGAGGGCTAGCTGGCTGGTGCCAAGGGCTTGACCCAGGGCAGGGGCCACATCTGTGTTCACTGCTGTCGGGCAAATCCCATGCCTGGGACAGCCTCTAGCATGTGCTTGGAACATGCTCCATAGATACCAGGGTTACCTGTTAATGGTTATCGTGGGCATGCTTAGAAAACATTGGCACTGGCCAGGACCCCAGAGCTAGAGTGTGACTTCTGTGCAGAACCAGTGAGGAGCTTGTGTCTTGAATTTTCTCCTCCCACCTGGGGATTATCCTGTTGGCCAGTGCCAATCCTCCACCAGTGGCTGATGTCTCCAGAAGCGGCCAGCGAAGGGGATAGCAGGGATTTCTAAGTTCTCAGCTAGGCCAGGACTTCCTGTTCCTTTAGTGACTTTTTGGGAATCCACTGTCTTTCCTGTCCACACTCAGCAGCCCAGGAAAGAACCTATTGGGAGACGACAATCAATAATCGATGTCTTCTGGCCTGTCTCCCCGACCCCCTCTTCCTCGGTTCGCCCCTTTTCCCTGAGGTGTCAGATGCAGGGCATTGCGGCCCTGGGGAGTTACCAGTAGGTCCTGGGACCCCTCTCTTCCTGAGCAGGTGATAACTTTACATCGCCTCTCAAAAAGGAGGATGCCATGTTCTCCTCCATGTCATCTGCCTCCCGCTGACTCAGGGCTGCCCCACTTTCCGCTCTGTGGTCCTTGGCCAGGTCTGCCTGTGGCCTCGGGGCTGAGGCGTGGGAGGCCCTCCATTTCTCGCCTTCATGTGAAATTGAAGGGGAGATGTAAAGCAGTCAGAAAGCTCTTTATAGCCTAATTTCTATCAGAAGCTCAAAGGACTGTTTCCAGGTAAAATTAGAAGAACTCTTGGATGCATTGCTGCTCACCTCAGAGGTGTTCTTTTAGAAATGGGGCAATTCTGACACCAGCTGGTATCTTGCAATTCAGTTCTGGCATGGACCGCCCAGACCCTAAGGCGTGGCCCCCCAAAAGACTGACCCTGCTTCAGACATCAGCCACAAGTGGGGTCCCCAGGACACCTGCACTCTGACCAACTGGCTCCAAATCCAAGGGGTTTCCATGATACCCTCCAGGTTTGATAATTCACTGGCACGTCTCGTAGAACTCCAGAAAGTGCCATGTTTATGATCACAGTTTGATCACCAAGGCTACGAATCAGGCCCAGCCAACTGAAGAGACACACAGGGCAAGATCTGGGAGGGTCCTGAATACAGAGCTTCCATGCCTTCTCCCTATGGATTCAGGCATGTCACCCTCCCTGGCACATCAGTGCTCGCTAACTGGGAGGCTCCACCAAGCTTTGACGTCCAGAGTTTTTATGGGGGTTTCACTCTGTACGCATGATGGGTGGACTTACTGACCACACAGCAGAACTCGGTCTCCTGGCTCTCCCCTCCCTGGAGATTGGATTGGCTCAAAGCCCCAACCCTCTAGTGGTGTGGGTGGCCTTTTGGGCAGGGCCAGCCCCTGTCCTGGAGCCATCTCAAGGCCTACCACAAGTCACCGCGTCAGCATAGACTGAGGTGTGGTGGAAGGGATTCAGGCATAACCAAGAAACTATAACCAAGAAACTCCCAGTAGTCGGCACCTCCAAGGTTTTAGCCACCTCCCAGGAACCAGGGACAAAATGAGCCAAATTCTTCATCAGACAGCAGTGGTAGTGGTAGTTTTTTGCCATCGGATATTCTGGAAACTGCCTCAGCTATCCCAGTTACCTGCCATATCTCCTTCTTGAGCATTTCCTATGTTCCTTTATCCCCTTCTTAAGCATTTCCTATGTTGCTTGCACTTGTGTTACCTGATTTAATTCCTAGTGCAGCCCTCCCAGGTCTTTGATGTAAGCGCACCCATGTTAAAACGAGGAACTGAGGTCCAGAGAGGCGGTGACCACCCCAAGGTGACACAGCTGCAAAGTGTCCCAGTGGGGTCTGAATCCAGCTAACCAAATCTGTGTCAAAGGTGGGGTCTCCAGGATTTAGCCTGAATGCAGTCTGTCAGCTGCTCTGTCTGGTTGGAAGGTGATCGTGTTCTTCTCAGCAAGCAGTGGCTGCTGAGAGGTGACTGCTCGTCTGTTAGATGGTGCACTACTGAGGCTTCAAACCCAGTAAAGGAACTCTCCCAAGGGGCCCTGCTGGGCTGCCCTGCTACATCCAGGCAGTGACTGGTCACTCCACCAGGCCCAGCCTATGGGTGACCCGCCTGCCCAGGTGATGGGAAAAGGCAGAGACAGAGCCTTTGGACGTGGGCTCTTGCTTTCCCTGCCAGCATGACCTGTCTCCTGCTGCCCAGAACAGAAAGGGCCAAGAGCCAGCACCGCTGGGCGGGTCTACTTTCCTGGGTGTGACAGGGACACGGTGGGGCGTGCAGAGAGAGTGTAGAGAGATGTCCATGCGGTTCCTGTCCTGTGAATGTCCCTTTACCGTCCGCCCTTCTTCCCCCCAGAAGGTTGGAAATGTAGCAGCTGGCATTTCTGCCACTTCCGGGCCCCAGGGGAGCTGCACAGGCTTAGGTCAGAAGCCAAACCCTGCAGTTGGGGCAATTAGCAGCATTTGTGGGATTCCCAAGAGACTCCTGGGTTCTCTCGGCTATGCCAGAGGTTCAGCTCTGCAGTTGCAGATGTATGAGGCCACAGCTACCACAACCACCGAGGAGTCTCCTGGCGTTCACCCGTGGAGTCCAGGGAGGCGGAACCCTGCAATGAGCTGGCCAGTCAGGCACACACTGCACAGACAGACCTGCCCCTGGAGATCTTGGGGAAAGACCCGTTTGCTGCCCTGCCTCTGGCTTCTTGGAAAACCACTTTCCTCTCCGACCCCCAGGCTGGATGAACAGAAAACTGAGCACAGGCCCTATCTCAGGGTATGGCCAGTAACTAGGTGGTGCTTCCAAGTGGACACAGGCAGGTCTGAGAGCAGCAGTTTGTCTTGCACATTCTTCATTCTCTGTTCCCTTGAGTCAAGGAAGACCCGGATTAGAATCACAGGAGTTCTTGGGCAGTGGGAGGCCGCCTCCCTGGGGCACTCAGGTGCCTGGCAGGAACCACCAGCAGCCTACCTGGTGCCGATACTCGACCACCTGACCTCAGGGGCCTCCTCCCATATCTGCATTTCGGCAGCTTGGTCTCTCAGACTGTGTTCTTGTTTGTTTTGTCATCTGTTTCGTTCAAATGTAACGTGTTTAGAAGAGCTTCTCTCCAGTGCTGTGCTGAAGACCTCTCTTCTTGTTTTTCAGTCGGGAAGACGTCTCTGATCACGAGGTTCATGTACGACAGCTTCGACAACACATACCAGGTGAGGTCTTGGGTACCGCCCTCCACCCCAGCCAGGGCAGCCGACCTCTCTTGGGGGCTTGCTGAACTGGGATGAGTGCGGTGGCCCCGGTTACTGGGGTGTCATTTTGCCATGCAGGAGCATTCCACCTGTGTGCCGGCCCCATCCCAGCAAAGATCTTGAGCCCTCCTGAAAATCCAGACCTCGGTAACGGAAACATTTTCCAGAGGGAGATTGTAAAGATGGGGAGAGGCCACACTGCAGCCTGTGTTCCGTTGGTCCCCACAGGCAGGCTAAACCATTCTAGTGTTTGGTTACGGATGTGGGTAGGGTAGGGGTTGTGATGTGGAAGAATGGCAGGACGAAAGATGAGAGAGTTGACAACCAGAGCACTGGGAGGACTTGCTCCCTGAGCGTGCTTGTTTTGCTGGGACCTGCGTGACGTCTCACGCCCACGGGGCTGCTGGGACACTTCCTTCCCTGTCCCTGGAGAAACCTGCATGATGGGCATGCCCTGCCACACGTGGCCAGGAGGGTGGATGGGGTGACCTCTGCAGCTCCTGGCTCTGGCAGGGTGGTCTGGGGTTGGTGGCCCCGAAAGCTGAGTTCTTAGGAGTCCATAACCTGTCGCTTTCCCGGTGAGTGGAGAGGTTTGTGCAAGTCCAGTGAATTTTCCTTGCAACTATAGCTTTTGACGAAAAGCCCCAAACTCAGTCTGTTTTTAAGAAAAATGAAATTGTTTTCTTCCTTAGGACAGAGACAAACAATAATGCATTTTCTAAGCCATGGATTATGTGAGGTATTAGTTCCAGAAGATATCAGTGGGTGTAGCTTGAGAAAAAGGGGTAGTGGGGGTTCAGAGCTTGTATGGATTTAGGGGACACCGGGTGAACAGAAAGCAAACCAACCGCTCTCCTGCATGACTTCTCGGGGCCTTTGCTACGTCAGTGTATGGTTTTGATGCGCCGAGAGAGAAATGTCGGGTGTGGGATCTCCCAGATGTATTTGATCACGGAATCCCTTTGTCATCGAGTCCTCAGAAGATACATACTTATAGAATGCACTGGGAACCTAAGATGTCCCTGCTCCTTTCTGCACTTAACAGAGGATGTAGCACACAGCCCACGGTGGGTTACAGTTCCGTGCCTGCTTCTGAGTCTGTCTGTCGCCATCTGGGCATTTTCTTTTCCTTAAATACAGTCCCTCTTTACTCCTGCGTTTACTTTCTGGGACCTGTAACACTACATCACCAGAAGACTTGGTCTGGATTGGCTGCAGGGTGAGAACAGGAGCTCCAGAAGAGGGGCCCTGAGTGATGTGATGCACAACCCCGGGGCGTGGGCTTTGGGACGTTGGTCAGGGTCACCCTTCGTCTTTGTTGTGTCCTTTCTGGGCCAGAACTGTGCCCCCAAGCCTCTCTTCTTGCTAAGGGGACTCTCGGCCAGACATGGTGGCTCATGCCTATAATCCCAGCACTTTGGGAGACCGAGATGGGCAGAGTGTTTGAGCCCTGGAGTTCGAGCCCAGCCTGGGCAACATAGCAAGACCTCATCTTCACAAAAGATAAAAAAAAATTGTCCAGGCATGATGGTGGCACCTGTAGTCCCCGCTACTCAGGCAGCTGAGACAGAAGGATTGCCCGAGCCTCGGAGGTTGAGGCTGCTGTGATCGTACCATCGTACTACAGCCTGGCCCACAGAGTGAGACCCCTACTCAAAATAAATAGATAAATAAGGGGGCTATCCTGGATCCGTTTGGATTACAGACGACAGCTCTAACAGACTTGGGTGCCTGAATCTGACTTGGCATTCATGTATGTGTGTGTGCATGATCACATATATTCTTTTGATAATTCGACTTTCTTTACGGTTACTTGCAATGCCTTCTGTTGGTGTCCCATTGAAGACAGTGGATGAAAGCCTCAGCTCCTCCCCATGTCATTTGAGTTCCTTAAACTCTCACCCCGCCTCTCTCTCCAGTGTCATCTCCCGTCGTCTCCTGTGTGTCCCTCATTCCGTGGTCCAGCCAGCATCCCTGCTCACTGCCCTCCCCCATGGCGACACCGCCATTTCTCTGCTGGAATGCCCTTTCCTGTCTTCTCTGCTATGAAGGTTCTCCTGACTCAGCGAGGCCTCGAGCCGGGGTTTGCCCTGAGTGGTGAGGCCCTTCCATGCTCTGTGCCACCCACGACCCTCTCTCAGGTCATACGCCGTCCTCTGGGCAGGGGTAGCCTCCACAGTGACTCCTGTGAGCTTCTGGGTCTGGGCTGGGCTGCGGGGTTAGTGGGGGCCGGGACCCCCGGGATCACCTGCTGCATTCGTGGGCCCAGCACAGGGCTTGGCTGTGGCTGGTGGCACCAGTGCGTCTGGCACAGACGTGGCTTGGTGAAGTGTTGTCTGCCTCGGATTTGAGACCCTGTCAACCTGAGGGCCCCGAGGCCATGGTCACGATGAGGGGGGCCATCTTATAGAGAACCACTACCCTCTCTGTGCAGGCTGTGCTTCTCTTTTTTAACGTTACAGCAGGTGGAATTTCTTTCCCAGGATCCTTAAAAATGCTAATGAGACTGGGAGGCCCAGGCTCTGATTCTGGGCACACACAGACTCATGTTCATGAGTTCTCTGGCGATGGAGAAGGGGCAGTGGAGTTTTTTGTTTTGTTTTGTTTTGTTTGAGTTGGAGTCTCCCTCTGTCACCCAGACTGGAGTGAAGTAGCACACTCCCGGCCACCACAGCCTCAACCTGCTGGGCTCCAGCGATCCTTCCGCCTCAGCCTTCCAAGTAGCTGGAACTACAGGCACGTACCACCTCGCCCGGCTAATTTTTGATTTATTGTAGAGATGAGGTCTCTCCAAGTTGCCCCGCCCACAGGCTCAGGCTATCCACTCTCCTCGGCCTCCCAAAGTGCTGGGATTACAGGCTGAGCCACCAAGCCTGGCCTGGAGTTTTGTTTGTTTGTTTTTTCTTAAGATGGTGGCAGAGGCATTTGGAAAGCAGACGAGATCCCCAAGGGCTGTGGGGGATGAACTTTACACCCCCCCAAGCTGTCCCCCTGCACCGTGACCACTCCTTGCCACCACCCCCACCAAATGACCTGCCCCTCAGACAGTACAGCTGCCCCGCCTGGCAGAGGTGCCAGACAGTTCCGAGGATGGAGTCTGCCCTTCCCTCCCTCCTGCCTTTCTGTCTCTGCCTCAAGCCCCACCCACCCCTCTCATCACTCATTCTGACACAAGATGTCTGTCAAGTGCCCACACTGGATTCTGAGAGGCAGGAGGAGAAAGCGGCCTCAGCCTCAGCCAGGGCATGGAGGGCTGGGAGGCTGCGAGGTGGCCAGCCCTGTGCTCGCTAACAGCCACGAGTCCTCCCTCAGCCTGAAGCTGGATATGCACGAGGCCCCAAGGGGCCGGCGGGAGCACCTGGGTCTGGAGCTGAGCTTGGCTGCAAGGCCTCGGGACGCTCTATCCACTTGGCAGACCTGGGAGGGACCTCGGAGCGCAGGGCTTCTGCCGCCCCACGTCCTGACTCAATGCACGTGCGCACCGTGTTCTCCTCTTGACATGTGTGCTCTCTGGCCCCCATCACCCTGCCCATCTCCCCATCTAAATCCACTCACTCAAAGAAGCGGAAAATTAAGACTCACAGCCAGATGCGCTCTCTCTTACGGAAAACCTCCACTGAACAGTTACCGTCAACACTTACTGTAGATGAAAACCTCCTGGTCTCTGCATTGTGATAAGACTTGGCCATCTTGGGGGTCAGCCCCTTCTCCTTCCCCTTCCGCAGGCCAGGTAACACACACTTGCAGGCCTGGCCATGGCCCCTGTGTGGAACCGGTGCCGATGCCATGAGGGAAGCTTCCAGGCCTCTGCAGGGGTGGGTGAGGGAGGATCGGGCAGCAGCAGCGCTGGGTCCTCTGTCCTGGTTGATCCCCATTACCTAGTGGGGGAGGGCAGGAGTCACAGGCTGACTTGGCACTGGCACGTGGGAAACCACAGAGGCGGTTGTGGCAAGCTTACAGCCAAGACTGAGCCCTCTGGCCCATCTCTGCACCTCGCACTCTGGTACCCGCTAGGAAGCTGCCCTGACCCCTGCCTTCCGGGGAGGGCATCCCTGCTGCCCTCAAAGCACACGCTCAGAGGGCAGAGGAGAGTCTTCTAGAGGCCTGCGCTGGGTTCCTCCCTGGTCCCACAAAGCCTTGGGCAGGGAACAAAGCGGCTGCCAGGTAGGCATCCTCAGCCTGAGGCCTTCCTCTCATGCCTTTTGACAGCCACGGCAGATTGCCACACACAAGAAACTGACTCCGTTCCGAAGGCCGAAGCCAAACTCGAGGCACGGAGGCCATGTTCTTTTCTGAAGGCGCGGGGAAGGGTCCTTCCTTACCTCTCCCAGCTTAGGGTGCCTGCAGGCATTCAGTTTCTGTCCCGTCTTCACTCGGCCTCCTCTCTGTCTGTATGCCCTTGCCTTATGAGGACACCAGTATCTGAACTGAGAAGCCCACCCTTGAGATTTTCCATCTCAGGATCCTTGGCTGTAAACACATCAGCAAAGACCCTGTTTCCAAATTAACTTGCCTTCTGAAGTGTGGAGTGGAAGTGAATTTGGGGTGGTTGCTCTTTAACCCCTCCCAAGATCCCAGCACCTCCCACTGTCATCCCAGCGAGGGCTGCACCCTCTGGCGTGGTCTCCCTCAGCTCCCAGCCCTTCTGGCCCTCCACATTCCCACCACCCAGCAGCTTTCCTCCAGGACCCCATCTCGGCATCATGCCTCTCTGTTCCTATGGGGTTTCTCCAGCGGATATCTTTGTGTAACGTATGTAAGTTCGTTTAATAAAATGAATATGAACGTCTCCTGGGGCCTGGCCATTGGGCCTGCAGGGCTGCCCGCCTAGCCGCCCAGCCACCAGCGTCTTCCCCTCCCCGACTCTGAAGCCCCTCGGGGAGGAGCCGAACTCTGGCCGGGCCGCGGCAGCACACTCTGGGTGCTGGGGAGGGTCACACGCGAGGGGTCACAGTGAGGGA